TGGGGTGCCTGCATACAGCACTGCACTGCAGATGAGTGATCCATGTTGATCCAAATAAGTGATCTCGGATCACTCAGTACGAGTGATTCCGCCCAATACGAGCTACCACGTAAACACAAATCCTCTCCCTGGTCCTTCTGTGACCATGTGCGAACTGCAATGATGTGGAAAATAAGAGAATCCAACGAACCCTTAACGAATGTAAGTCTTTACTAACGACCTACTACCACTTACAATAGTCCATCCATCATTCTCCCAGTGCTGCAACTATACTTATCTATATCGACAGAACCAAAGAACTTTGCAAAATAGTCACCACTCAGAGACTTCGAAACTATAATGCAATGCTCAACACAATCACCAACAACCCACCAAGGTTCGACTCTCGCGTGCGAAATTTCAATTCCTTCTTCCGATTGTAGAACAGCAAAAATTTGCTCCATCGCGGGGTTGCTCATTCGTTAAGCGGTAAATTGCTCCTCTGAAAAGTAGCAATTTGCTCAATAGTAGAAAGAGCAATTTATTGGTTTGCCACTTTTTTGAGCAAAACTGCTAAATTTTGTTACATAGTAGAGCTTCACATAGCGGCAACTTTTATACATTGCAGCAACCTTCTGAAATATAAACAAGCAAACGATATTCATTCGAGCAGTTTCTGTTATACAAAACGGCAAATTTGCGTATTTGTAAAGTGAATTTTACTACTTTACTCTTCTGTATATCAGCCATAGCGTTTTTACAGACTAGCACAACAGCAAAAGCCGCAGGGAATATGCATTCGAGCTAATTGGCACTTTTTTGCTATTTGCTCCTTTGCTATTTTGTAACTGAGCCCGGATAAGATCGTCCTCACATCCTAGCCAATGTGTTGCCACTCACTCGATCAACTCAACATACAGTATACATGTAACGAACAACATCCAACATGAACAAGGGGATGATTACTTTCTCATGAGGCACTTCTGCCTAGTGAATTCTCCAGCCTGATATAAGAGAGGTCACTACATAACTTACCATGTTAACCCACGATCTGCGTTATCTCATTCTTCTGATAATGATGCTCTTTGTCACATTTGCGGGCTGCTTTCCTCAACTGCTTTGTATCGAAGTAGCTGTCAGCATATAGAGACATCAACCTCGCACCTCGACTACCATGACGGTATCTATATAGGTCATCATCATAATCATCATACCGTCCACATAAGTTATCACTTCTTATTGGGCAGTATGGGATCCAGTAGAAGATGTTGAACATTGTCCTTGCTGGCAAAGTTGGGGAATGAGGCTCTAATGTCTATCCTTGATGATGATGATGATACAGAAGATGCCCTCGAGCGGCGGACAGGAGCTCGGGCTTCCAATTTTCCTTCAACACAGGATGATGACCCCTTTTGGCAGCAGCAGCAGCAGCTTTTAAGGTCTGATGAATCAGTATGGCGGCGAGTGGTGGCTTGGGCAGATATCCCTCGCCAATAGGATGATATCTGCAAAGAATACTCTAGTGGCTACCAAGACTCATTTACCCTCCTCACTTGGTCGCAGGCATGGCCATACTCAGAATAAAGAGGCTCTAACGAGGTGAAGTCCGAGCAGCATCCAATGGGCTTCTGAAATGTGATTATGCATAAAGTTGTAGGCCGCACCCTCATCCTCCTTACTTGGCTGCCATCCATCCAGTAGAAACGATGATGCTCAGTAGAAGGAATGACCTCCAATGGAGTCTGACCAACACAAGCATCATCATGACAAGCATAACCTTTACCCACCCGAACTATACTCTCCATCCTACGCATGTGGTCATCAGGATCCTCCAATGAACAAGAAGAGTGAGGAGGCGGCGGCGGCGACATTGGACAACTGATACTAATATACATCTATTCTTAACTCTAAATCACACTGGTCGTAGTAGTAGTAGACCTCTCCCGAGTATCCTCCTGCTCATAATTATCCTCACAAGTGGGAGGTTGGTCACTCCTAAAGCTGCTGATAGTATCTCGACTACCACCATGATGATGATGTTAGATTACAAGACGGAGGGATGATGATACCTCAATGATGTATGTTGTAAGAGACAATACAACAATCCAATACTACATCATTGCTTACACAATGTTGTTGTTGTTGAGGTAGTATACTATCGATATATAATATAGGATATAATAATACAACACTGGGACCTAGTGAATTAATACTTCCACTAGTAACTAGCAGAGGTTCATGTGAAAGCTCCCAATCCCCTGCTCTATCCTGACTCATAGTCATCAACCATTATGACTCGACGTTATAGCCATTAACCTATTATCGGCTCAGGATGATGATGATGATGATGCTGTTTAACACCACCATCTTATGATGCCTAGTACTAGTAGTATACCAATATAATATTGACAACACCAAGCTGACGAAAGGTAGTTACTAGAAACCACCAATAGGACACTACTTCTTCTGGGTATGATTCCAAAAACGACTATCACGATTTATCACCACGTTGTATTGATTACAATCCTGATGGATACTCTAATGAGAAGCTACCTAACCAGTAGTAGCTGATGTTGCCAACTTCAATGACTTCTCCTTAGCATCGTTAAGATCACCAACAAGGAAGAATGCTGCCTCAGGAATATCATCACAATCTCCTCTCAGAATGGCTGAATAATAATAATAATACTACAACAGGGCAGCAGCGAGTAGTAGCAAGTGATGATGATGATGATGCCTACATTGAAAAGCTGAAATGGTATCTGGTAAGTCAACATAACGTCCAGGGAGACCAGTAAAGTTCTCAGCGACGAAGAAGGGCTAAAAGTGAAAGGGTGATAAACAAGAAAAACAAGTGTTAGCAGTAGCATGCTCTAACTACTAGTACTACTACCTGTGAGAGGAACTTCTGCATCTTCCTTGCACGGGATACAGTAAGTTTATCATCTTCCGAGAGCTCATCCATACCTAGAATGGCTATGATATCCTGCAAGGACTTGTAATCTTGGAGGACCTAACAACATCATCAT